TCCCTGGGCAACATGAAGAGGACTTAACGTTTGTGGTGACCCCAGGTATGGAATGCCCAATGATTCTAGGGATGGAATGGTTGAAAAAATGGAACCCCTGGGTAAATTGGAGGACGACAGAAATCAAATTCCCGAAGGGGGACCCTATGGACTTAAAACCCCAAGGGAGGCTACCAGAATCAAGAATAGAAAAAGCATCCATAGGAGAGGAAAAAAGATTAACAGAAATACCAGAGGAATATAGAGACCTTGCTGAAGTCTTCAGTGAGGAGAGGGCGAATGAGCTTCCCCCCACCGACCCACAGACTGTACCATTGAATTCAAGCCTGGGGCAAAACTCCCAAAGCCCAGATTATACTCCATGAGCCCAAAGGAGAAGGAGGAAATGGAAAGATTTATAAAAAAAAACCTGGAGAGAGGTTTCATTGAACCAGCTAAGCCTAAAGTGGCTGCCCCGGTCCTTTTTAGAGAGAAGAAGGATGGCTCTTTACGTTTATGCGTGGATTCTAGGGCCCTGAACACAATCAGTGAAAGCAACCTATACCCGCTGCCCCTCATGAAAGACATGCTGTCACACCTATCGAAAGGGAAAATTTTTTCTAAACTAGACTTAAGGGAAGCTTACTATCGAGTGAGAATCAAGGAAGGGGACGAATGGAAGACTGCATTTAACTGCCCCATGGGGTGCTATCAATTCAAAGTCTTGCCATTTGGATTACAAGGGGGCCCTGCAGTCTTTATGCAATTTATCAATGACGTTCTAAGGGAGCACCTGTTTAAGGGGGTCCTTGTTTACTTGGACGACATTCTTATCTTTACCGAAACAAAAGAAGAACACGTCAAACTTGTCAGAGCGGTTTTAAAGAAGCTGCGGGCCGCTCACCTATATGCCAAACTCTCAAAATGCGAATTCCACCAGGAAAGGCTAGACTACCTAGGCTATCGCATATCCCCACAGGCAATTGAAAATGACCCAGAGAAGTCAGAAGCGTATTAGAATGGGCACCACCCCGCACAATAAACCAACTACAAAGTTTCCTGGCTTTGCAAATTTTTACCGCCAATTCATCCCCTCATTTGCCACAGATAGCTGCCCTCAACCACTTCTCTAAAACTAAGGGACCTCCCTCATTAAAACCTAGCCAGCCACTAACATGGACATGAGTGCCAAGCGCGTTTGAAGAGACTAAAGATACTTTTTCTGCCAACCATATACTAAGGCACCCAACATGACACCAGCCCTTCATAATACAGGCAGATGCAAGTGATGTGGCAGTGGGGGCTGTGCTATTACAAGAAAATGATGATGCAGTATTGCAACCCTGTGCATATACATCCAAGAAAATCACGGAAACAGAACAGCGCTGGCCCGTATGGGAGAAGGAGGCTTATGGGATACGTTGGGCATTACTCACATGGCGACAGTTCCTGGAAGGCAACAAAATCCCCTTCCAGGTGTGGACTGATCACAACAATTTGGAAGCCCTGAAAACTTCCAGGAAACTCAATCCCAAACAAGCCCGCTGGTCCCAGCATTTTCACCAATTCCAATTTAAGCTCAAACATTTACCAGGAAGAAAGAACTTCCTGGCAGATGCACTATCTCGCATGCCCCAATATAACAACGCACGAACCACAGACTCTAGACCAATAATGGCAGAGTCACAACTGGCAGCACCAGTAACCACAAGAACCCAAGCCAAATTAAAACCACAACTGGACAGCCAAACTGGACTTGAATTCAGAAAAAGTTTGGAAACAGATGATTGGTTCCAGAAAAATAAAAATGTGTGCACAATGAGAGACGGGTTGCCTTGGATAGGGGAAAAGTTATATATACCAACAACTCAAAGAGTAATTTTCATGCACCTTTGCCATGACACAAAATCAGCAGGGCATTTTGGATTTGTAAAAACTTTACATTTAATTAAACGGCAATTTTGGTGGCCATCCATGAAAAAGGACATTGAAAGTTATATAGCCAGTTGTCCAAAAAGTGCCACGGCAAAGAGGTTGCAAGGGAAAGTGCCAGGACTATTGCAAACAGTGGCAAGTCCCTCAGCCCCCTGGAGAGAAATAGCCATGGATTTTATAGTGGAATTGCCAGTAAGCAATGGGAATACTGTGGTCTGGACGGTCACGGACTTGTTTTCCAAACAGGTGCACTTTATCCCTTGCCAAAAGATTCCCACTGCAAAAGCCTTAGCAAAACTTTTCATCCAACACATTTACAGGTTGCATGGGGCACCCCAACGCATCATCTCTGACAGGGGGGTGCAGTTTACGTCTGCATTTTGGAAGGAATTTTTATCCCTCTTAGGAACCACTCAGGGACTGACATCTAGCCACCACCCTCAAGGAAATGGGGGGGCTGAAAAAATGAACTCAGTACTTAAGCAATATTTAAGATGTTTTCTTAAGTTTCCAGCAGACCGAGTGGGCGGACTTACTCCCCTTTGCAGAAGTTGCCTACAATAATGCAGTCCACTCCAGCACAGGTTACACTCCTTTTCAAATAGCCACCGGTCAAAGCTTCAACCCCATGCCAGAATTAACCCCAAACAAACCAACGATCCCCTCGCTGAAAGAATGGATGGAAAAATTACAAAACACCTGGCCAATAGTCAGAAAAGCACTAGATGAAGCTAGGCAGGCTTACAAAACACAAGCCGATAAAAAAAGGGTTGAGCCTACACCATTCATTATAGGAGAGATGGTGTACTTATCTACAAAATAACTAAAGTCCCTACAGCCCTGTAAAAAACTTGGACCAAAATACATAGGACCTTTTCCAATTAAAAGAATCATAAATCCAGTAACAGTAGAATTAGAGTTACCCAAAAATCTCATGCAAATACACCCAATTTTTCATTGCAGCTTGCTGAAAAGAGAGCATCAGTCACCTCTACGGCCAAAAATCCCCCCCCCACCACTTCCAATCATGGTGGAGGGGGAACAACACTTCGAAATAAAAGAGATCCTTGACTCTAGGAGATATCGTGGAACAACTCAGTACCTATTTGCCTGGAAACACCTCCCTGCCTCACAAAATGAGTGGGTCCATAAACGTCACGTCAGAGCCCCGAAGCTATTGAAGAAGTTTCACACAGAGTATCCTAACAAGCCTAACTAAATTTTTTACTTGTGTTTTCTTTCAGGTTGATCTCTCTTATTGTTAAGAGGGGCCGGATGTCAGAATCCAATCATATTTCATCTTTAATTATCAAATATAGAAACTCCCAATTCTGCCTTCTTTGGATTCTGCAATAAGAGGGAGAGAAGGGGGAGAACAAAAGGGCTTTATGGCCCTCACTTCCTTCAGTAGACTTCAAAGAGCTGAATGCTGAATGTGTGTTTATTGTAACCTATTGTAACCTCAAAGCGTTAACACCAGAGAACATTAGCATTAACAAAGAAGAGTATTTGCATTTCATGTAGTTATCTGAAGTCTCCATCCAGACGGAAGAAAGAAGAAACTGGGTGGAATTGTGATACTTGAAACTATCACTGGAAGGGGGGTTGATTGGGTGGGACTACTGGGGAACCCCTTAAAACCTTGAATGGGAGAGCTTGGACCCCAAGTCCTGTCTAGCATGCCTGCAACCATTTTCTCTTAATAAAGGATTCCTTTTGGAAGAACTATTCCAAGAGTTCTGTCTTCTTAAGATGCAAAGTGGGGTGGGTCCTTACAGTCGTCTTATATGCCGAGTCGTCTTATACGCCGGAAATACTGGTAGTTTCTGGCGTATAAGACGACGTTCTAGGAATACGGCCCGGCTATAAAGACGGGGGTCGTCTTATACACCGGATCGCCTTGTACGCCGGCATTAATGGTACAGTCATTTCAAAAATAACTTAGCTTGTGGGAGATTTAAAAATATCAGTAAACTGGGACTGCTAACATAATAAGATTGGCAGTCTTGCCCAGAAATCAAAACATAAGACCTTGCAGTGGAGGCATGACTGGTGAAGATGACATAACTAACAGAGATGGCGAAAGTAATTGGTTTGCTTAGAGAAAGATCAATGATTGCATTTATGAATGCCCGGAAACCCCTTATGGACTTTCTGCCGAAAAAAATAATAAAATGAACTTGTGGTTTATGGATTTGGTGATTAGAAAGGGTAGATTATAAGATGGAAACTATGACATCATTTTAAAGGGAATAGATAAAATAAAAATGCATTTATAACTACTGTGAAGATGATCAGAAGACATTTTATAATCTTTTTCTTTTTTTATTCTTTTTCTTGCTCTTCTGATTGGCCCAAAGTCACCCAGCCGGCTTTCATGCCTAAGGTGGGACTAGAACTCGCCGTCTCCTGGTGATTGGCTCAAAGTTATCCAGCCAGCTTTCATGCTTAAGACAGGCCTAGAATCAGTGGTGGGATTCAGCTGGTTCACACCACTTCGGCAGAACCGGTAGCTAATTTTTTGTTGCCCAGGCCCAGAATGGATCCAGAAGTGGCATCCACACAGAGAACCGGTTGTTCACATATTTGAATCCCACTACTGACTAGAATTCACTGTCTCCTGGTGATTGGCCCAAAGTCACCCAGCTGCCTTTCATGCCTAAGGCGGGACTAGAACTCCCATTCTCCTAGTGATTGGCTCTAATTCAGCAGTTCTCAATCTATGGGTCACGACCCCATTTGGGGTCGATCCACCATTTTTCCCCCTCAGGGGGCTGCGCCGTGCATGCGCGCCACGCATGGGGGCCGCGCCGCGCATGCGCAGAACGTTTGTGTGACGGGGGTCGCCATCACACAAACGTTGAGAACCACTGCTCTAATTCATCCAGCCAGCTTTCATGCTTAAGGCAGGACTAGAACTCCCCGTCTCCTGGTGATTGGCCCTAAGTCATTCAGCAAGATTTGATGCCTTAGGTGGAACTAGAACTCACAGTCTCCTGGTGATTGGCCCAAAGTCACCCAGCTGCCTTTCATGCCTAAGGCGGGACTAGAACTCCCATTCTCCTAGTGATTGGCTGTAATTCATCCAGCCAGCTTTCATGCTTAAGGCAGGACTAGAACTCCGCGTCTCCTGGTGATTGGCCCTAAGTCATCCAGCAAGATTTCATGCCTTAGGTGGAACTAGCACTCACAGTCTCCTGGTGATTGGCCCAAAGTCATCCAGGCAGGACTAGAACTCATGCTCTCCCACTTTCTAGCCTAGAGTAGACCAAACCAGCCAGAAAAAAAGAAAATTATGCATTCCTCATAAGGGCAGGGTGGGAAATGCATAGCCCTGCTCATTCCTTGGCCTTTTCAAAAAAGAAGCATCCAAAACTCTAACTAGAGTGTCCCATCTCTCTGAGTTCCTTTGCTGCCCAGCAAGAAGAGGAAGGGAGAGTGGGAGAAAAAGGCCTTAGACAAAAGGAAGGGTTACTGTAGTCTTTTTTGGCTCCAGTTGCTGAGACATGATTTCTAAAGCGGATTTCTCTGCCCCTCTGAAATTCCATCAAGCAAAGAGCTTCTCTTACCTCTTTGGTACACTGGATATCCATCATGAAATGATGGACATGTTTCTCTGCTCTGGTGAATTCCAGTTTATCTGCAGCCACGGCCACAAGGAGAGCAGTGCACCCCACTCCCTGGGAAGAAATACGAAAGTGGAGAATAAGAAAGGTTCTTTTAAATACAATTTTTTTTAAAAAAAAAATGCATGGGTTATTTACTGTTGTAAGTCGAAGAAGTATCTCTATCTACAAATATATATTGTTTTCTGAGGTTTTCGCGGGTGTTTGTATGTAGGTCTTTGGTTATTCGGGTTTTCTCCCACGTCAAATTGGAAATGTCTTGGCGACATTTCGACAAAGTCTCATTCATCATCTTCAGGCTGGTGTTTTCGGCTTCGTGCTTCCAGGAGGAGGAAATCCACCATATTGCTCCTAGAAGCACAAAGCCGAAAAAACCAGCCTGAAGATGACGAATGAGACTTCGTCGAAACGTCACCAAGACACTTCCAATTTGACGCGGGAGAAAACCCGAATAACCAAAAACCTAAATATATTTTGGTAAATATATTTTGCCACCTTGCACCACGTTTCTCATTGTAAGATGTTGTTTGTGTTCCTTACCATGACACCAGTGAACAAACACACGACTTTCCCGCAGACTGTTTCGGGCACCACGTCTCCGTAGCCGATGGTCAGAAAAGTGATGGGAATCAACCAGAATGTCCCACCCAGGTAATTGTTCTCATCCATATACTGCCTGGCAGATCAAATAAGAGAGAATCAACATGAGGATAGATCCGTGCTCATATTTATCTAGGAAAGTACAGGTAGTCCTCCACATACAACCACAATCAGGGCCAGAATAACTGTTGCTAAGCAAGGCAGTCGTTAAATGAGGCAGTTCGTAATTTATCACGATAGGGACCAGAATTTTTATGGCTAAGCAAAACAGTTGTTATCTGAGTCACGCCCTTTTTATCCCATGATTGTTATGCAAATCACCGCAGTTGTTAAATGAATCATGTTGTTCAGCAAATCTGGCTCTCCCCCCCCCCCCCAACTGACTTTGCTTTTTGGAAGCTGAGTGGGAAAATTGCAAATAGCGGTCACATGACCTTGGGACATTGCCAATAAATACATGTTGGTTGCCAAGTGCCCAATTTTTGATCATGTGACCCCAAGGATGCTGCAACGGTCATAAATTCAAGGAGCAATCATTAGTTCATTTTTTTCAGTCCTGAACAGATGCTAAATTAATGAATGTCAGCTGAAGACTACCTGTACTATATCCCAGTTAATTGTTTGACCTGAAGCAACTAAGGACGGTGTGAAAACTAAACTAAAATAAATAATAAAACACAACAAAACAATAAAATGAAACAAAATGATAAAATAAAATAATGGAAGGAAATACAAATATAATATAAAGTAATAAAATAAAGCATTCGAATGCATAAATCCAAATACATCGGTAAATGCAGGTTGGCTAAACCATAGCAGCTTGAGTTCAGTGGTTTTTTTTGTTTTTTTTAATCAAATCAACATTTTTAAAGAAAATAAAACAGTCTTTGTCTGATGACCAAACAGTTAATAATAACAATAACAAGCCTAACAGTGGATAATATTGGTGTTCCAACAGAATCCTCACCGTTCACAGACGGACAGTATCCAAAAAGCGATGATCCAGAGTCCCATTGTAAAGATCAGCAGCACACGGCCCGGCTGGCTGTTGACCATCACCCGTAACACAAAAGGGTACTGGAAGTGGATCTTGTTGAGGGACCCAATGCTGCGGTAGGAGGCATCTCCCAGCACACTACTCCACATTAGCACAGCTCGAGGGACCAAATAGAGGCGGAGGAACATCACCAGTGAGAGCAACATGTCAACATCGGAGAGGAAGACGAGGGTCTGTTCCGATTTGGGATCCAGGCAAACGAAATCTCCCACTGGAAAGGGGTGAAGGAAGCAGACTAAAAGCTCCAGCGTGATGAGAGCCAATTTCGGGGTGCTGACTGCAATTCGCCAATCGGTGAGGGAATTGTCCAGCATGAAGAGCTAAAAGGCAAAAGGAACATGAGAGCATGAATGAGCCGGAAGCAAAGCCAGGGGTTCTCTCTGCAAGGAATTGTCCCTCTGCTGGAATTCATTGATGGAATGTATTTCTATGCAACAACTACTGTAGTATTCAGCTGGTAAATGGCAGTATTTATACGTTTGGATCTATGCTATGTACTCTATGCTCTTTTGTTCTAAATAGAGTTTACTGTTTACTTTTACAGTTATATAGTTGAGCAGTAAAGCACATGGTGACTGTACTCTTTGTTGCTCTGTATGGTGCTTTATATAAACAGAATTTTTAACACCCTCTCAATCAGTTGGGCAAATGAGAAGGACGATGCCCACCTTTTCATGGAGGAAAGGTTGTTAACAGTCTCAAGAACCATTAGAAAAAAGCTTGTTACTAGTACAATACAGTCAGAGGACTCTGGTGCTGTTCAACCAGTCACACAGCATATTGGCACCAACATTTGCCTTCATTTCACCAATAGCAGGGCAGAATACCAAAAGCATCCATCCAAACCCTTCCTAATAGTTTTTCTCCAGGCCTCACAAGAAGAAATGGAGCAAAAATAAAAATTGGTGTTGGAAGGCATAGTTCTCTAACTTTGTAACTGGTAACCCAATCAAAAGGAAACCTGCTTATTCAAAATGAACCATTTCCCAAATTTTTCCACCTGGTCCGCCAGTTGTACACACCACCCACCTACGCACTGACCCACAATATCATTAGCATTATTATTATGATTATTATCAGTCGGAATCAATTCACGGTGGGATGAAGACCTTTCAACCATTCGGTTTGGTCAAGGCAGGTTAGTAGATGGCTATATTTGTTTACAGGTAATCGTCGACTTACGACCACAATTGAGCCCAAAATTTCTGTTGTTAAGTGAGATATTTGTTAAGTGACATTGGGACACGGCAGCAGTCATAAATATGAGCCAGTTGCCAAGCATCTGAATTTCGATCACAGGATCATGGGGAAGCTGCAAAGTAGTAACTGTGAAACATTGTCATAAGTCATATTTTTCAGTGCCCTTGTAACTTTGAAGGGTCATTAAAACGAACTGTTGAGCCCACTGTAGAAGAATGGATGATTAAAGTGTCAAATTTAGCAGAAATGGCTAAGATTTCTGCTTATTTGAAGGATCATTCACAAGAAAGATACATTTCGGTCTGGAGAAGATGGATAAATTATATTCAGAATAAATATGGGACTAAAAAGTTTCATTTAGTCTATGAGTGAATTTTAGAGTATTATTATGATATTATTTTTAGTATTAGTGTTGTTTAACTATTTAGGGACTGTATTGTTTAATAATTAGGATATTAATTTGTTTATGTTCTCATTATTATTATGTTCACTTTTAATTTGCTTATATTTATGTTAAAGGGGAGTTAAAATGCATTATGGATTTGGTTACTTATATAGTTGGTAATGTTAGTTAGATTATGATTATCATATTTGTAACCCTGTATTCAGCTCTGGGAAGTAGGGGAGGGAGGGGGGTTTTGGGTGGGTTAATATTGTAATTTTTATAAAACAAACAAACTATTGTAAGTCGAGGACTACCTGTATTTGCCAGTCTATGGTTGAAAGAGTGGGAGTAAGCCTGAGTCACACAGGGAGCTTCTGTGGCTGAGGGGGTCTAAAACCTGGGCCACCCTACTCCTAATCTAGCACCTCCCCCTCCACCCCAAACTGACTCTTGGGCTGAGAGAGAGGGACTGGCTCAGAGTCACCCAAGGAACTTCAACGTTGAGAATAGTCTTGGATCTTCCTACTCCTAGCTGAACACCTCTATTACTACACGGTGTTGGCGGTTGGGCTGAGAGAAAAAGATTGGCCCAGAGTCACCCATTCAACTCCCATGGCTGAGAATGACTATGAACTTGAGTCTCCCTGCTCCTAGTCCAGGGGTAGGCCACCTTGGCTCTTTTATGACTGGTGGACTTCAACTCCCAGAATTCCTGAGCCAGCGTGAGGGAACTATGACCCTTTTATGACTGGTGGACTTCAACTCCCAGAATTCCTGAGCCAGCCATGCTGAGGGGAAAGGGAGAGGTTGCCATGCTGAGCCATGCTGGGTCAGGAATTCTGGGAGTTGAAGTCCACGAGTCATAAAAGAGCCAAGGCTGCCTACCCCTGAGCTAGTCCATTAGTCTATTGCTCTCACCATTAGGAAATTTCTCCTTCATTCTAGAAGCAACCTAGCACTGAGGAGAAATTTCCTGACACAACAGTTAAGCAGTGGGACAACTTGCCTCCAAACGTTGTGGGTGCTCCATCACTGGAGGCTTTTAAGAAGAGACTGGACAGCCACTTGTCTGGAACGGTATAGGGTAGGGGTAGGCAACCTTGGCTCTTTTACGACTCATGGACTTCAACTCCCAGAATTCCTGAGCCAGCATGGCTCAGCTTGGAAACCTCTCCCCTTCCCCTCAGCATGGCTGGCTCAGGAATTCTGGGAGTTGAAGTCCACCAGTCATAAAAGAGCCAAGATGGCCTACCCCTGAGCTAGTCCAACCCATCACCCCTATTCCATGTTGGTTCAAAAGATGGGAAACATGTCAGGCTCTGAGTCCCGCAGGAAGCTACAATCTCGGTCTCCCTACTCCTCATCCAGGGCCTTCACCACACCTCCTCACTGACTCCCTGGCTCAATATCACCCAAGGAGTGTCTATGCTGGGTCTCCCCATTCCTAGTCCAGCACCTTCACCATCCCCACCCCACACTGGCTGTTGAGCAGAGAGGGAAGAACTGTCCCAACGTCACTCAGGGAGCTCCTGTGGCTGAGAACGGATGGGAACCTGTTTCTAGGTCTGTGTCAGAGAGCTTTGTAGTAGTCCACAAACGTTTGGCAGCTCCCTGCCTCTGGAATCGAGCTTCTGTGATTCAAGACAGCTAACAGTTGAGCAATTTCCCCCTCGAGATCCGTATAAATAAACCCTCTATTGTCAAAAGGTGTCATTGCGGTATCGCAACATAAGGGATGGAACTGAATGCCAAGTGGTTTTACAAAGCAGATGTACGCTGTTGTTGGATTGCTTTCTGGGAGTGCAAAAGCTTTCTTTATTATTAGTAAAATCAGTTTGTATGCTGCTGATGGTTAAGTCTTGACTTCCGCCTCATGGATGGCTTCCAAGAGAGGAAGACAAAACTGCCCATCTAGCCAAAGACAGGTAGTCCTCGACCTTATGACCACGATCCCAAAATTTATGTCGCTAGGTGAGACAGTTGTTAAGGGAGTGTGGCCCCCATTTTACAACCTTTCTTGCCACAATTGTTAAGTGAATCCCTGCAGTTGTTAAGCTAGTCACACGGTTGTTAAGTGAATCTGGCTCCCCCCTTTGCTTGTCAGAAGGTCGCAAAAGGGGATCACGTAACCCTGGGAGACTGTAACCGTCATAAATATGAGTCAATTACCAAGCATCCAAATTTTGCTCTGATAATCTAGTGCAGGGGTAGGCAACCTTGGCTCTTTTATGTCTCATGGACTTCAACTCCCAGAATTCCTGAACCAGCATGGCTCAGCATGGAAACCTCTGCCTTTCCCCTCAGCATGGCTGGCTCAGGAATTCTGGGAGTTGAAGTCCACGAGTCATAAAAGAGCCAAGATTGCCTACCTCTGGTCTAGGAGGCTCACCGCTTAGAACAGGAGGACTTAGGACAGGGCTAGGCAACCTTGGCCCTTTTATGACTGGTGGACTTCAACTCCCAGAATTCCTGAGCCAGCCATGCTGAGGGGACAGGGAGAGGTTGCAAGCTGACATGCTGGCTCAGGAATTCTGGGAGTTGAAGTCCACGAGTCATAAAAGAGCCAAGGGCCTACCCCTGGCTAGGAGGCTCACCGCTTAGAACAGGAGGACTTAGGACAGGGCTAGGCAACCTGGCCCTTATGACTGGTGGACTTCAACTCCCAAATTCCTGAGCCAGCCATGCTGAGGGACAGGGAGAGGTTTGCAAGCTGAAACCACTGGCTCAGGAATTCTGGGAGAATTCCACGAGTCATAAAGAGCCAAGATGCCTACCCTGGTCTAGGAGGCTCACCGCTAGAACAGGAGGACTTAGGACAGGGGTAGGTAACCTTGGCTCTTTTATGACTTGTGGACTTCAACTCCCAGAATTCCTGAGCCAGCCATGCTGAGGGGAAAGGGAGAGGTCTCCAAGCTGAGCCATGCTGGCTCAGGAATTCTGGGAGTTGAAGTCCACGAGTCAGAAAAGAGCCAAGGTTGCCTAACCCTGACCTAGTGGATGCTGCAACCGTTGCAAGTGTGAAAAACGTTCATAAGTCACTTTGTTCAGTGATGTTGTAACTTCAAATGGTCACTAAATGTACTGTTGTAAATTGAGGACTAGCCGTGAAGTCTAGCTGTGGATGCAGGCTTCGCTTTACATTTAGACCAATTTCAGCTGCATGGGTCAACTGGGGCTCAATATTCCTCCAGCAGCCCAGTGTTTATTGCAATAGCTTTTCTGCTTTTATTACGTGATTTGTGAACGTGTGGGTTTTTTTAACCCTTTTATTGCCAACAATAAATAGGGAGCTGTTCCATTTCTTAAGAAATAGATAAAACAATGAAAAGAAAAAGAAAGGAGAGCAAAAGTACAGAAACATAAGAAATAACATACTACTTAAAATATATATCCCTAGGTTAATACGTATTTATTTCCTGAATTTCTTATTCTTTTTAACTATAATTAAGAATATATTTAATCTTTAATCTTTAAACATTCCATTCAACACCTCTAGTCATCTAGTCTCCTTTGACTCTTATTCAAAACATTTTCTTTTCATCATTGTCTTAAATTCAGTCACGTTTAAGTTTCTAAAACATTTCCTTTATTTAAATCATTTCAACTTTTTTGAAGTAGCAGAGAAGCCCTATTCAGGGGTCTGCAACCTTGACAGCTTTAAGACTTGTGGACTTCAGCTCCCAGAATTCCTCAGCCAGTTGTCAAAGTTGCAGACCCCTGCCCTAGTTAGCAAACTTATCAGCCAATGAAATACCCCCTGATTTAAGGGCCTAAAGTGCACGTTGGGGAAATGCACATCAAATGAACTGTGCATAAATGCACTTTAATCCTTAGCCGGCCAAAGTCACTGCCACCAGCCACAGCTTGGCAGTCACTGGGTGGACCCGCTGGGTGACTCAGCCAGGAAATATTGCTCTCCAATCAACAAACGAGATCAAACAGTCCACAGGAAAGAAAGAAAAAATTCTTCTGAAGTATATTTTCCGAATGTCGCTGGCTCGCCCGCCGCAAACCAAGACAAGTTGAGCCCTGCAGATGGGGAAGATGAAATGTCTGGGCTGGCCAGTCAGCCCTGAAGGAATAAGTCTCAACTTCAGCCTGATCAGTTGAGCATTTCCCAGCCCTGCACGCTATTTATAAATGAATTTATTAAGAAGAACTGTCTGTATGTGGTCAATGCAGACACTTCTCCTTACTTTTGGCTGCTAAAACTAGAGGACGGTGACGGGTGCAGAGTTAATATTACTGTTTGTTTGTTTTTTAATAGTGTTTGTTAACAAGGGTGCTGAGCACTCCCCAAAGGGGTTTTATGATGCTGAAATTTTGGGGAGAACTATTACTGTCCCTCAAATAGAGAATGCCCCATCTATATCTCAATTGCTTAGATGGGCGGTTGTGGAAATCAAACAAACACATAAATTTCTTGTGCCACACACACTGTCCCTTGCCCCAAACTCTGGCTGATTATCTTTCTGTCTGTCTGTCTGTCTGTCTGTCTGTCTGTCTGTCTGTCTATCTATCTATCTATCTATCTATCTATCTATCCATTACATTTCTACATTGCCCAGCTCAACTTAAATTATCTTAGTTAAGATAACTAAAATAAGTAAGTTATCTTAATCATCTCAGTTCTCTAATATTTTACAAATGTTGGAACAGAGAAGTAATTTTTAACATGAACAGACAGGGAAAATGATTCAACACAAGGACAGAGTTAGATTATTGGGTTGTGGGTTTTTTTTGGTTTTTTTTTAAACTTTTTAACTTGTTGTTTGGTTGCATTGGATTTATATCTTTCTGTGGACCTGTGTCCACAGTTTCTAAAGTGCAGCTTATGGGCCATCATTTAAAGGATAAATCCAGCCTTAATTTGTTCTTGATGAAGCTACTTATCTACTTAAATGTGGGGGGGGACTTTATAAATTTATAAAATCCAATTTTGGGGGATTGGAGTAAATTATCTAGTTGTTCCTCCCCTTTAATCATTCTGGTTGCACCTGGTGCATATAAAAGACCTATTACTTCCAGCTCCTTGCAGTTCAGATAAATATTTTCCAGGGAGATTTCTTATTAAAGGTATGGCATCTGCAAAGTATGTCAAAGTTTGCCCATAACAATCTTTTTGTTATGACAGAATTAAAATGAAGATTGTTGATCCTGGCAGACATAGGCTAAGTAAACGCGCCCTTCCCCAGGTCAAAGTTTGTTGTTTTTCAGGTCTCCTTCTGGAGTAGCTCCCAGATTTATGGGATAATTATCCTACACTGCCCTCCACCTACCTTTGTAAGTCCTTGACTTACAACAGTTCAGTTAGTGACTGTTTGAAGTTACAACAGCGCTGAAAAAAGTGACTTATGACCATTTCTCCACAGTTACGACGCCACTGTGGAGGGTCACGTGATCAAAATTCAGATGCTTGGCAACTGGCATGTACTTACGACGGTTATAATAATAATAATAATAAAGTTGGAAGGGACCTTGGAGGTCATCTAGTCCAACCCCCTGCTCAGGCAGGAAACCCTATACCATTTCGGACAAATGGCTGTCCAGTCTCTTCTTAAAGTTGCAGTATCCCAAGGTCATGTGATCCCCTTTGGTGACCTTTTGACAAGCAAAGTCCATGGGGAAGCCAGATTCACTTAAAAGCAGGTTACTAACTGATCAACTGCAGTGATTCACTTAACAGCTGTGGCAAGAAAGGTCGTAAAACGGGGCAAAGCTCACTTAAGAAATGCCTCACTTAACAACAGAAAGATTAGGCTGAGTTGTGGTTGTAAGTCGAGGGCTATCTGTAGTTGCAGCAGCAGTAACGTTGCACTGTTATGACTACGATTGTTATTATTATTAAGGCACAGATTGGGAGGAAGATGGCCGTGGAAAGATCAGCATGCAGGGGGGGGGAAATTGTTCTCTTTTGCTTCCTAGTCAAAAATAAAATACGCCATTGGATAAGGACGCCCGGTCAGATCCCTGAAGGGCAGGAATTAGCTAATAAATAAATAAACCGATCCCATGTTAGTTTAATATTTACCTTGCTATTGCCAGTTCTTATATTTTAAGCAGTTGCAATCCTCTTTTACGACCTTCTGACAAGCAAAGTGAAGAGAGAAGGCAGATTCATTTAACAACCGGGTAACTAACATCAACTGCAGTGATTTACTCAACAACTATGGCAGTGATGGCGAACCTTTTAGAGACCGAGTGTCCAAACTGCAACCCAAAACCCACTTATTTATCGCCGGGTGCCAGGTGGGCGTGGCCCACTGGATGGGCGTGGCCGTGGTGGTCATGGCAGATTGGGTGGGTGTGGCCAAGGTAGGCGTGATCACCTCAATGTTGCTCGTGGGGAGGGACGCCTGTGGGGGCTGGGCAGGGTTGGGGGAGATCCAGAGGATCTCTGGCAGGTGGGGCAGTGGGCAGGAGGTTCGTCCTGCAGGAAGACGTGAGGCAAGGCGAGGCAGGGCAGGGGTGCCATTGTCACAGGGCAAGGTGAGGCAGGGATCGGGGCAGCTGCTGCCTGACACCATCGGCCCCTGCACACAGAGGCCAGCGAGCACATGGGTGCTGGGATGCATCCAGCCACATGAGACCTCGGCGAGTTAGCGGGCGGCTGGTTGAAGAGGGACGGTTGCCATCTCCGGGGCATGGCCCGCTTGCCCACAGAGAGGGCTCTGAGTGCCGCCTCTGGCACGCATGCCATAGGTCTGCCACCACTGAACTATGGCAAGAAACGTGGCAAAATGGGGCAAAACACACTTAAGAAATGTCTCACTTAATAACCAAAATGTGTGGCTCAGCTGTGGTTGTAAGTCAAGAACTATCTGTATTCCTAATTTTGCTTCTTCCACGCATTAGCATCTGGGGCATAATAAAAGCCAAAGCCAAAATTGGGAGGTGGGTGAGATTTGCATCCAGGTGTAAAATTATATTGGCAAATGTACAGAATCTTACAGAATAACAGAGTCAGAAGGGACCTTGGAGGTCATCTAGTCCAACCCCCTGCTCAGGCAGGAAACCCTATACCAGTGATGGCGAACCTTTTAGAGACTGAGTGCCCAAACTGCAACCCAAAACCCACTTATGCATCTTCAGAGGCCAGGTGGGTGTGGCGCATTGGCTGGGTGTGACCAATTGGGTGGGTGTGGCCCATTGGGTGGGCACGGCTGCGGTGGTAATAGCAGACTGGGTGGGACTAAAAAGTTCAATCAATCAATTCCAACTTTACAAAATCTTTTTTTTCCCATGAGAAGTTGAAATTGACTGATTGAACCTTTTTTTTTTTTTTTGCACACGCGGCGGAGGCCTAAAGCAAAAAGGTTTTATAAAACCCAGCTGATGGCCTAGGGCTGGGGCGACGGCACGAGTGCCCACAGAGAGGGCTCTGAGTGCCACCTTTGGCACTCGTGCCATAGGTTCGCCACCACTGCCCTATACCATTTCAGACAAATGGCTGTCCAGTCTCTTCTTAAAAACTTCCAGTGTTGGAGCATTTACTGCTTCTGGAGGCAGGTTGTTCCACTGAGTTAATTGTTCTAACTGTCAGGAAGTTTCTCCTTAGTTCTAGGTTGCTTCTCGCCTTGATTAGTTTCCATCCGTTTCTTGTCCTGCCCTCAGGTGCTATGGAGAATAGGTTGACCCCCCTCTTCTTTGTGGCAGCCCCTCAAATATTGGAAGATTGCTATCATGTCACCCCTAATTGTTGTTTTTTCTCCTTGAAACCAACCTGGTTGATAACCATTCCTTTTTGCACACTGTCTCCACAGCAGAGATGGGAGGTTTTCTGGGTTCATAAAAGGCAACAGATGGTATTCAAACCCATAAAAGGGATGAGCCCATCTAACTACAGTAGCTGTTGGGATGGAAAACCCTTGTTGGGTAAATCTCCCCAGTTCACTGCTCCTTATTTTATTTTGTGCTGCTTGATAGAAACCTTTAGATTTTTACAGGGGTTCTCAACCTTGGCAACTTTAAGACTTGTGGACTTCAACTCCCAAGTCTTAAAGTTGCCAAGGTTGAGAACCCCTGCTTTAGAAGCTGCCCTGGGTCAGTAGCTCATACTGGATTCCAAGCTTTGAGATGAGACTCAGAGACGCAATGGAAAACACTCAACAAATAGCAATAACACTTGGGCTTATATACTGCTTCACAGGGATTTACAGCCCTCTCTAAGAGGATTACAGGGCCAGTCTATTGACCCCAACAATCTGGGTCCTCATTTTACTGGAAGGATGGAAGGCTGAGTCAACTTTGAGCCAGTGAGAATCGAACTGCTGGCAGCCAGCAGTCAGCAGAAGTAGCCTGCAGAACTGCATTCTAACCACCATGCCACCAAAGCTCAATTAAAAAGTCACTAAACCTCCCAATAGATGCCACCGGTATCACCCCCCCTTATAGTTACCTGGATCTCTTTGATGTGAAACGCCAGGATCAGGATCACTAATCCCACCGTAGAGAGGGTGATGAGGCACTTGGTCATGAAGGCATAAGCAAACCACTGAAAGGAGAGCAAGAGAGAAGAGATGGGTTAAGGAAACTCCTCAAGGATGTGGGCCTGAAACCAGCAAAGGTTTGAGACGTCTGCCTTTGGTTTGAGGGCCATACAGAATGGATGGAACGGATGGAAACTAATCAAGGAGAGAAGCAACCTAGAACTAAGGAGAAACTTCCTGACAGTTAAAACAATTAACCAGTGGAACAACCTGCCTCCAGAAGCGGTGAATGCTCCAACACTGGAAGTTTTTAAGAAGAGACTGGACAGCCATTTGTCCGAAATGGTATAGGGTTTCCTGCCTGAGCAGGGGGTTGGACTAGACGACCTCCAAGGTCCCTTCTAATATTATTATTATTATTATTATTATTATTGATCATCGCACAGTCAGCCAGATGTTCAGACTGGATTTGGCATTTTGTCTACCTATCGAGTCCTTACCCAGGACCTGGGATAGGCAGATGTGGATGTTTGATGGTATTACAGATATCGTCGCAGGATGGAAGCAGTTCCTAGTAAGGCCGCCTTTTGCAATAGGTCCCTTCTAATATTATTATTATTATTATTATTATTATTATTAAGATAAGATAAGATAAGATATAAGATATAAGATATAAGATATAAGATATAAGATATAAGATCAGATAAGATCAGATAAGATAAGATAAGATAAGATAAGATAACCTTTATTGTCATTTTTTTACTGTGGGCACAACGGCACACATCAAAAATGAAATTTAGTTGCCCGCTCTCAGAGTGAAACACATACATGACACACCCTAAAAATATACTATATACAACATATATATAGACCCACACCCCTACATATACATAACAAATAAATATTAAATACTGTCCATCTTGAATATATAACGGAAGGAGGACGCTTGAGAGTTCACAAGGTTAATGCTGTATGGAATGAAACTATGGCTGAATCTGGATGTTCTGCTGTGGATACCATGAAGCTCCTCCCAGAAGGTAACAAGGAAAACAGGTCGTGAAGAGGATCTGTGGTGTCCCAGATAATCATACAGACCCTGCTCAAGCAGCGCTTCTGTGCTATGTCCTTGAAAACACGGTTTTTGTAGTACTGTTGCACTGGCTAACTAACATGGGGGGGGGGTTGTATTTATTTGTTTATTTTCAATGGTATTGCAATTAATTTCCCATAAGCCTTAACCTTCAAGAAAAAGCTTCTCTTTCAGAAACCAGGACTGGCAGGAGAGCATTCAATACATTGTAGGTAATTGTTTCATGTTTAGTTCTTCTCAAGCCCCCATAAACAGAGGAGCCGAGCTGGCGCAGCAGTTAGAGTGCAGTACTGCAGGCCACTTTAGCTGACTGTGTTCAGCAGGTCAGCGGTTCAAATCTCACCGGCTCAAGGTTGATTCAGCCTTCCATCCTTCCGGGGTAGGTAAAATGAGGACCCAGATTGTTGGGGGCAATGTAAATATATATATATATACATTGCTTACTGGTGTACACCGCTTAGAGAGTGCTTGCACTTAAAGCGGTATATAAGTCTCATAAATAAATAAATAAATTAGTCCAGCCAACCTTGGGAAGCACTGAGAATGTTATCTTACCCATTTTGATGTTTTTACTTTGCAAATGTTTCTTTTACTTTTCGTCAGAATACAATGCTCTTTTCTAGGGCTATGCTCATATATTATTGCTGTAATGTAACTGAACAGGTGTCATGTCTCTTTCTAAAAAAAAAACACAATCCAGGTTTGCTTTGAAGTTCTTGGTTCTGCTAACTATAAAAGTAAATGTAATCCATTTCTTGAGATTTCCCCTTTCTCATAGAGAGACTGTACTTTATCAGAGTACTCTAATAAATTGCTTTTAAATGATCTTGGTTGCTTATTGGAAAAACAGGTAAACTGAGGCAGAACCTAGGGCCAGATTTGGCCATCATGGTTAGAGAAGAACCATGCCTTCAAGTCTCCCCATGGCTATTTTGACTTCCATTCCATTTGAACAGGGGACTGAGACCACCATGTTCCTTCTGGCCATTAAATAAGGGCTGCAGAAATGTGTAGGAATGTGCATAAAGCATCTTTTCCTGAAAAAACAATCATAATTTTTCCCCCAGGTGACACAGCAGTTTTAGAAGCTCTTCCTGCCCACGTGGGGATATAAGCAATGGAGGAAACCATATTTTTTTCCTTGAAGGTAAGCAGAGGCATGTCCAGCAAAAACAGCCAGAAGACCCTCAAAGCTGTTGCCATGGCTTGGAAAAAGATGTTCCTGTTTTAGCAATCTTTTTTTTAAAAAAAAAAAAGTTGTGCATTGCATATACATTCCTGCAAATTCTGCAGGGTTTCATTCAAAGGTTTCCATAATAGCTGTTTTCTTCTACAACATACGATTCTGCTAGGTCAGTCTTTTTTGAATAGCAGTTTTGGGGGATGTGGACCTTTGGAAGTTGATGTGTGGAGCCCAGCTTTCCCCAACCTCACACTATGCCAGGGGTGTCAAACTGCCGGCCTGCAGGCTGATTTCATCATACCAAAACTGCACCCACCCCATTGCCGGCAATGCAAAAAGAGTTGTGATACGTCGCAACACGTCACGTTGAGGAAGGTTTATATAAACCCATTGTTTGCCATTTTTGTAATGACATTTGTAGGCCCTTTTCATGGTCGAGTTCTGGAGAAATTAGAATGTTTAAGGGGATTATATTGAGGGAGGAGGAGGAGGAGGAGGAGGAGGAGGAGGAGGAGGAGGAGGAGGAGGAGGAGGAGAGGGAGGAGGGGGAGGAGATGAGAGGAAGAGGATGATAAAAAGAAAGAGCAGGAAGAGAGGAGGAGGGAAAGGGAAGGAGAAGGAGAAGAAAGAGGAACAGAAGGAAGAGGAGGGAGAGAGAAAGAAGGATAAGACAAAAGAACAGAATGAAAAGGAAGAGAGAAGGAAGAGGAGGAAGAGAGAAGGAGAAAGAGATGGTAAAGACCAGGAGAAAGAAGGAGATGGAGAAGGATTGTTGTGATCTTTTAGTGCACGCAAAAATTGAGGTGCACCTTGAAAATCCACTTGTAAAAACTATAACTAAATGCACAGCTGCAGCCATCTGCCAATGGAAGAAACCCCACCAGTGGAATGTGTTCCCACTAGAATTAGCCTCGCACAATACCCTTGCACTCTGGCACCTTGCTGGAGGGAATACGGTAGGTGAATTCACCAATCACATTCAATACCTGGCTATCAGCCGCGGAAGTTGTCTGGAACTCAAGAAAAACGCTATGGCGATAAGTTCAAGGCTAACAGAAGGAAGTCATTGTTCACACAGTTTAAACAAAAGATTATTAACAAGGGATTCACTGCAGGGATCACACCTTGTCCGTGCTGAAAGATCTATGTTTGGTTCCCATTTATTTTTTTTGGATCTGGGACAAGATCAGATATCCTGCAGCAGCTGTTAGGATCTCCGCGGGCCGTTCATGAGACTTTCGGTGTTCCCCTTTTTTAAAAAAACAAAAACAAAAAAATACCCAAACAAAACACCTGGCCTGGTGCCCTGACTGGAAATAGCCAAATTAAATAGGCATTTAATTTCCCACAATTCTCCTAAAGTGGTCTTGAGCTAGGCACCGGTTATAAGTCGCTCTTTGCATTGTAATTTCAAACGGTCACTAAAAGCATGGTTGTAAATCAAAGACTGCTCTTATATGCAGCTCCCAACACATTCCATGCAACGTAAATGTAGTCTTTTATCCCTAAAGATCAGTGGTGGGATTCAGCCAGTTTGCACCAGTTCAGCAGAACCGGTAGCTAATTTTTTGTTGCCCAGGCCCAGAATGGACTTCCAGAAGCGGCATCCACATAGAGAACTGGTTGTTCACATATTTGAATCCCACCACTGCTAAAGACTGTGTGTCCAAGCTGAGTATGTTCAAATTTGAGTCAACAGTGTAGTTCAAAATGCAGCAGCCGCATTTTATGGCCAAAAATCAGGAATCTGGACGCATCTTTCCTGAGTAGCCAAGTTTATTTGAAGGCAGAAGCTTTTGTGAGGTACCGTTCATGTCATCAGATGCACGAGCAGTTAGATTTTATGTAGCTGCTGAGGGAGGCTGCAGCACATGAAAACTTTTGCCTTGAAAACAAAGCTCCTTCTGATTTTTGACCACCATAAAGTAACCAGGTTTTTCTCTTACAATGTCTAATGTTGTAGCTTCTTTGACCTGCCTCTCTTATTCTTTCAATGCAGTGTTTCTCAACCATGCCAACTTTAAGACTTATGGACTTCAACTCCCAGAATTCTCCAGCCAGCCATGCTGGGGTTGAGAAATACTGTCTTTAAGGACCAGGCTTTTTTTTTTTAACGTCCTTGCTGCATGGAAGGAGTTAAATTTTGCTACCTCAAACACAGATGAGGTGAGGGAGTAAGGCTGTGCCAATAGACCCAATCTATGATTGTGTTTTCCTGTTGCCGTGACATTCACCTAGATAAACCACCTTGACACCTGAGCCAAGTGTTCTTTAGAAAAAGCGGCCTGTTTCAAGTGAAGCCTGTCCACCCTGGCCCTCAAGCCATAACTCTGAACATAGTACATAATACATAGAGCTATATTGCTGTAGGATAGCACCATAAAACCTTCCTTGGAAAAGTTTTACAATCTGCCTCTTTGTGGTTTCCAGGGAAGGAGGTACCACTTTGATTCCGGGATCCCTGTAATTCCCCTTTGAGGATGATAAGGAGCTAATAAAAAAAAAAACGCACAAGTACGTCCTTGAGGACAAGGTTTGTTCAGCCTTAAAGAAGTGGCATTGCTCAGGTTTGATTTGGAAAAGAAAATAAAAAACAATGGACTTTGAATCTGGATATTGAAGGACGGCCATGGCAGCAGGGGAGAAACATCCTTAATAAATATTATTGCAATATGTTTACCTTCAGAGATAAACAATCAAGATAATTAACTGTGTTCACCATATAAACACATAAATGCACATGGTTACGGGATCACCATTTCTGATCTTCCCAGCCAGCTTCCAGGAAGGGA